TTCCTTCCTATTATTTTTATATTTGTTATTAATATTTTGTTATCAGAATCTTTATTATGGTAATCTTATAAACAATGATGTTAGTAATGAAAAAGGAAACTTTTCTTTTTAAAAAATTGCAACTTTATAGTAATTGAATCCTTACTGACTTCAGGTGTCATCCTTTATAAACACAATTAGTAAAACAAAACTATAGTGGGCAGTGCAAGCATAAATGCAGTCCTGGTATCTATGGCTTGATACAGAAATTGGCATGCTCTACCTATCCATAACTCCTTGACAGATTTTAGTTCTAGGGTTATTTGTACTTTACTTTTTTTTCAAATATTTAAACCATCATATAAAACAATAAGTATAACTCCCATTTTTTCAATATTTACACATAAGGGATCTTTAACCCAATGCCCCCAGGAAAATGTGTTCACTGTAGTATGTGAAATGTCTCTGCACATAGATGGCTCTGTAATTGCTTAGCCACAAAGGAGTCAATTAGTAGACCTTGTGACCTCAACTGATTTCACCTTTTCTTGAGTTTGCATTTTTTTTTTCTTTTTCTTTTTCTTTTTCTTTTCTTTCTTTTTACTTATGCTAGTAGTATTGATACTGTTATTTTTTTTATAGTATTATTGCCATTACTAAGAGCAATATTAGATACTAGAAAATATTTTCAAAAATCAATGAAAAAGGTAAACAGTTGAGAAAGATAGTACTCGTAATTGGCTCATTGATGACTTAGGACTTGTGGAGCCATCTATGTGTAAAACAATTACTAAATTAAACACACAGTGGGCATGGCATGTACACATATGCCATCCCTAGTGGCATGAGGATAACATACAAATTGATACTGAAAATAAATGGACTTCTCATTGCAAGATGATTACCATATTTTGAGGTTTTGTTCAATGGTTACAAAGCTCATGTTGTTTGCATGGGTATTTTGCCTTTGGAGTCTTTTGGGTGATCATTTTTATATTATTTTATTCTTTGGTTTTCTTAAATCTTTATTAGTATGGTCAAGTGTCTTATTATATACTGGTAAATGGTTTGCCTTTATTTCCTTACGCCCTTGTATTTATGAACAGTTATTATTTACCTGCAAAGGATAGGTGTTGAAATTATTATTCAATTTTGTTATTTGTACAGTAATTGATAGCCCAGCATATTTCTTCAGTCTGTTCAGTTTACGTGAACTACAAAATTGTAAGAAATTATTATCAATGTTATTATTTTATTATTATTATTATTTTATTTGCAAATACTAATTTGCTCTATGATTTCGTACATTTAATTCACTCAGTTCTTTCCTTCTGCTAAAAAGCTATATTTGCCGTTGCAGTTCTTGCTCTAACTTTCCATCATAAGTTATATATGATCCCATTGGACAAAATGTCACAACTTATTTCTTTCACCATTTAGAAAGAGATTCACTACCACATCACCTTGTCTAAATATTACCATATTCTTTGTTTTCTTTACATTGATCTTCATTCCATATTTCATTTATACCACATTTACTCTGTTCATTATTTTTTGTAATCTGTTCTCAGTTTAATCAACCATGCCTTAATCATCTGCAGATCTTACATCTTTTAATAATTCTCCTCCAACATTCACTCCTTCATTGAGATCATCCAATACACACACGCATACTCATACACGCACACACACACACGCACACTCATATGCACTCACATACACGCACACTCATTTGCACTCATACGCACTCTCATGCACACATGCACACACACACACGCATATATGCACACACATACACTCACACACACACACACACAACACACACACACACACACACCACACACACACACACACACACACACACACACACACACACACACACACACACACACACACACACACACACACACACACACACACACACACACACACATACACATACATATATATATATATACACACATAAAGGTGTTTTACAAATATCTTGCCTTTTTTTCTTTTTTTCTTTTTTACATGAATCATGTCAGTAGTCACCTGGTAGGCATTCTCATCATTTTGATTTGATTCAGCGAAGGAATTAAGGGGACTGTCTCAGAGAGGTCTGGGGTGGGCAAAATCTGGGGATCATATTGAGTCAGCTAGCTATTATATAGGTAAATGAATGAGGAAACGACTATTAAAGCTCAGCTATGTTTAATTCCTGGGCGGTGCACGTGAGACCCGCCAACATATGGGGAGGTACGCCACGAATATGGGCCTGGGTACAGGCACAATCGTGCATACGGCATTAGAGAATGACATTGTGTTTCTCATTGCAAACTGTTACTACTGAGAATTGTCAAAGAAAATGGTTTGATAGGGATAACTAATATATTTTATTCCTTTAAATATATAAAAGTCATTGTAGGATGATTAGATATTTTATCCTTTTGTGCGCATGTTTGCATACATATGATCCTCCTCGAAAATTATAAACACTCCGGTATGTCTCGAATTCCATGTATTTCATACATATGCTTTTAAAATTCTCAAAATTTAATTGCCATGTTGTATTCATGCTATGACTTTATAACTAGGATAATGTTGTACTGATATTGCCATCCACAGTTCTCCATTTCTGTCTTTATGATTTATTAAACTTTTCAGACAGAAATATCTGCTTTTATATCTAAAGAAGTAAAACAAACAAAACACTGAGACATACCTATACAGAATATTGTCCCTATTGAAAATGATACTTCTGATTTACATGGCAATCATTGCTTTGCAAAGTACACTAAATAAGCATTTTTTTTTATATATAACATCATTAGATTTAGCAAAATATATCAGAAATAACAAATTTTGGCAAATGTCCAAAATATAGTACCTCATATCTCCGTTCATTGTTTACACAAGCTTTGGTCCATCAGAACTCTTGTAATTTTCATGTGATTTAAATGCAGTTTGTTGCTTTTGCTAGAACATCAGAATCCTAAGGCCATGTAAATAAACTTTTTTTGAATTTTGGAATTAATAAAAAAATATAATTACATAATACTCTGTCAACCAGTCCTCGCTCCCCAAAAAAGGAAATTAAAAAAAAGGCTATTGCACGGCCTTATTATAAGAAAGATCTAACACATGTACTTTGAGGGGAATATTCAGGAAAAAAAATGTGGCAGTTCTGATGTACCGAAGACTTAAAACTTTTCTTGCGGATGCCCCAGGGGCTGAGGTTAAAATACTATTTGAGACAAAGCACAATTATATACTCTATATATTGCAAAAAACAATCCAGGAGTTATCTCCAACCAATATTTTTTTATGATGAAATGAGTAGAGAAAAGTAGGCATATTCTGTGATGGTCCCCTTAAGTTTCTATCATGTAAATAAGTCTTAAGTGATTAATGTGTTTCCTTAGACATATGTTATATAATATAGGTGTTTCTCATGTGATCTTCTAAAGCCTTCTCATTCTATTTTTTCTCTAAATATTTCTATGTTAAAGTTACCTATTTTTCCAGGAATTGAAACTTTTGGCAAGAATGCTGTAGTTTGTGGTCGAAGCAAGAATGTGGGGATGCCTTTGGCTATGCTTCTCCATGGTGATGGTGTCCGGCCAGATGGTAGGTATAGTCTGTTTTGTATCAGTTTGGTGGATATGTACTTACATTAGGGAAACTTTGTAAGATAACTATATTATTGTCATTGAGTCTTATTTTCCTTTTCTTCAATTTTCCTTAGAAAAAGAGAAGATATATCCAGCAATGCCAGATAGCATACCATTAAATAGAAAGGTCAATGACTTCTTCCTCTTCTTATTTAAAGCGTTTTTTCTCTCTCTCTCTCTCTCTCTCCATCTCTCCTCTCTCGGTCCCTCTCTCTTCTCTCTCTCTCTCTCTCATCTCTCTCATCTCCTCTCTTCTCTCTCCCTCTCTCTCCTTCCTTCCTCTTTCTCTTTCCTTCCTTCCTCTTTCTCTTTCTCTTTCTCTTTCCTCCTCTCCCTCTCCCCTCTCCTCTCCTCTCCCTCTCCTCCCTCTCCCTCTCCCTCTCCCTCTCCCTCTCCCTCTCCCTCTCCCTCCCTCTCCCTCTCCCTCTTCCCTATCTCTCTCTCCTCTCTCTCTCCTCTCTCTCTCTCTCTCTCCTCTCTCTCTCCTCTTTCTCCCTTTTCTCTCTTCCTCCTCTCTCTTTCTTTTCCTTCTTTCTCTTTCTCTCTTTTCTCTCTTCTCTCTCCTCTCCCT